GTGAACTTGAGAGCTGCGTCCACCATACAGTAGATGAATGGTGAATATTTTAATAAGAAGTTTTTAATTGACTTTTATTCATTTTACTCGCAGAAGAAAATAGCATTTCCCCACATACTACGGCTAAAAGATTAGAAATTTTTCTTTCAGTTCTCAGATTACTAGGTCTCAGAAGTTCACACGTGATTCAGTGACTTGTTGGGTTTGAGGTTCTCACATCGGTGTTAATGAAGAATTCTCTCTTCTGAGTGTAACGCTTTGCAGTCGGATGAAAATCAACCTCCATTTCAGAGGAACATATTGCTTCAGTATTCAAGGTCGAAGAGTAAACTAAACAAGACATACACGTATATGAAGCAGGCGGCAAGCAGAGCTCCCCGTGTCGCGTCACATTCAAAGCCACTTGACTACTTCTCCGTTTGGAGCTCATGGTCTCATTTGATTCTTGGTATGTGCAGTTAATTTTGTATTTTTGAGGCGTTCCCTCTGGTGAGAGGACGGGTCTGTCCTTTGTCAAAAGTCACTTTCACTTATACATGTTCACAGTAAGTAAAAGTAGAAAGTAAAGCTATCCCAGTACCAGGCCGTGAAGGCCCATAGGGTTGCGGGACGTTGAGGGTCCCACATTATCTAGACAATCGGCTCAAAGATGGCGGTAAGGTTGTCAGCTTTACGCGCCGGCCGCGCTTTACTTCCCAGGAAAATTATTTAATTAATTCCTGGTACTCATTTCTGTTAGAGGCTGAGTCAACCCCAGGACCATAGTGCGGCTGGAATAATTAGGTCAATTGAAAAAATACATGTTCACAGTATTAACAATTTTATATTTTCACGTATATGAGTGACTGTAGACGGGGTTTGGATTGGCTTTATTGACATATTATACATTTACCTCTGGACTACAAGGAATACAACGCTATCGTTGATTTACACACTTTAGAGTTCACCATTTCACTCGCACTACGGTTTTCAGTCTTCACTAGTCGTATCCTAGCAACGGATTTTTAAGTCTCACTCTCACTTCAAATCACATATGAAATCTTGTTTTCGTAGTTTATTTCCTTTCTTGTCATTTCATCTCAATCACCTTCAACTGTCATTTCCAGACTCGACCAATTTCTTGACACCAACTCTCTCAGATGAACTCTTCCACTGAACTCTCTCTACTTCTGACAGCAACTAACTGCTCTCTTAGAACTTCTCGTTATATAGCCTCTGGGTGGGCTCCAAGGAAAACACGGTCTTTTATTGTCTTACATGGTTTTACGCGTGTTTACTGATCCGTTGCTTAGCAATAGACATTCTACTGTTACGGCCGTTGGCTCCCGCGGGAATATGTTTACCGAGTCGTTGCCTAGCAATGGGTCTATACTTCACAATATGTATGCGTTGGACACACCAAGTACTGTAATGAATATTGTAACATTGTAAATACGCCAATACGTACATTCCAGAAGATAGAAATCTTCATAACCACCAGCGGTGGAACCTAAAATCCCATAACAAATTAATGAATTAATTTCAAGAAAAATAAGTCTGAGTAAACATGTGAGTCTACGGGAGTAACTGATGCCTTTTTGACAGGTTCTCCGGTTTGTGATTTCTTTATCAAACAGATATTTTCAAATATTCTATGGAATTATCCCGGCACATCAAGGTCCCTAGATACATTTTTATATCTATTGTCTATGAGAATAGGTTAGGTCCGTTATGATTCGTGCAGCGGTATCCAAAATTGTGTTTCTTTTTAAAGAATGTGGACGGCTTTACAATTTGTTTACATTGAGGCAAGCTGTAATACCGACACTTATTAATGCCTTTGCATAGAAGATAATTCTGCCGATTTCGCTGATATATTACTGGAACTGCGAACACCTATTGTGAATTAATAGCACATTGCACATCTGTTGCGTACGTAGAAGCCTCCATAATGCCGAGCCCATCTGATCCACTTCGCGGGCTGCTAATATAATGTAGATATTCCGTAGTAGTACGGGGGGGTGTTAGTGCACTGTGGGAAAGAAGCTGGCTGTTCTTTTCAAGTATGTGGTAACAATGCGGCAAGGAGGCCTTTCTGTCTGAAGACTGCCATGAATGCGTATAGACGGAACTGAGATGAAGTTCCATACATTTTTCACTTCGTTACTGGACGAATCTGAGCAATTAGTTTCTCGCTTTTGGCTCTTTATCCGTGGTACCCCTTAGATAGGATTCTGTGTTGGCCGACGGTTGTGTCGAAGATAAGAATTCTGCCTCCACTGATAATCGAACCATAATTGTCAAGTCTGTATGTTTTAATTATGCAGTAAGAAACAAACGAAAAAGGAAAGAAAGAAGAAATTACGAAAGAAAGTAATTATTTTAGATTTCTGTAAATCTACCTACTGACCAAAATCAATTTGCAATTTTAATTTGGCAACTAAAACCGCAAACATCACACTGATTTTTACCATTTTTCGGTTCCATAATTATTGAGTTGCGATTTACAGCCATAGACCTGTATTACCATACTGTGTTACACTAATTTTTAGTTAAACTTTTCGGTAAACCCCACCAAATATTTTATTTGTCAATCTTTATACCGAAACATATATAATGTACTAACGAATAATGTGACTGACATGATCCGTGAATTATAGAGATTATTTGGAGAGGTCACCATGGTATTTCGATCATATTTTGCCTCGAGTGAAAAGGTGATTGTTTTGTTATGCTGGACGATGAGCGCCTTTCTGAAGGATGTTTATTATTAGTGGCGTCGGAGCAATAAATATGTTTTCATGTTACAGTTATTTGTTGTAGGATTTGTTATGGTGTTTGATCTCTCTGCATTGAGAGCGGAAATAAAAGCTGGAATCTGAATAGTTAATCAGCTAAATATGAACACGGACGGCGTGGACAGAGATAATGTCTAGAAACACGAAATATTCTTTTATATTAACAAAATCTCTTTATACAGACCCTAACCTTCTGCAAATACTGCGGGGAGCGCGAGTGTCTCTTGTGGTTCAGAGTGCAGGACTCCTCAGTTTCAGTTATCCATATTTCTATTTACACTTATCATTTCCAGGCGCCTTAGAAGTGCTTGGAGTACAGTAGGACGAAATTTTGCATCGCTTGAAGAACATGTTCTGTATTCTGAGTACGGTGAAATATAGGCTCATGAGATCACCACGCTTCCCATGGGTTCTGCACTTTCGATACCTCAACTATACCATCGATTTTCATGAAATTTGATAAGAACGCTATACCATTAATGATACTGTAGTCTCATATTTTTCTGGCTCCTATGGGTTGCTGTAACTACATGGGGACGCACAATAGTGTGGGATGTGAGAAATCCTAGCGCTTCTTACTGTAGGATCATAAATAAAGTGTGGTAATAGATCTTTGAAGAGTATGCAACTTTTATTGAAGGAATTTTTAGAGAATGTGAAGCGATAATATTTCGACTTCGAGTAATCGATATTCAGCCCTCGGTTGAATGACGTTAACTGAGTAGCCATTTTATTTAAATGTGTAAAATGTGAATGAAGGATGTTTATAAACATAAGAATATCTACAAATTCTAAATGAAACACGGTTAAGCCAACAGTTACAAACAGGTAAACGTTGTGAATATTTTAAGTTACATCCGACAAACCTAGAGTAAACCGAATCCGTAGGTTATAAGTAAAAATTAAAAGAGTAAAGCTGTCCCTGTGCCAGACCGTGAAGGCCCATAGGGTTGTGAGACTTTGAGGGTCCCACATTATCTAGACAATCGGCTCAAAGATGGCGGTAAGGTTGCCAGCCTTACGCGCCGGCCGCGCTTTACTCACTAGGAAATTTTTTAAATTAATTCCTGGTACTCATTTCTGTTAGAGGCTGAGTCGCCCCAGGGCCATAGTGCGGCTAGTAGGATTAGGTCAATTGAAAAAAAATCCAATGACCTCATCGTGACTTGAACCTTGACCTTCCGGCTTGTAGCATAGCCCCTGAACCAACTAGTTCCCCAAAATGTAGCAGAAAGCCCAACCGCCACCACCACCACCACCACCACTGCTTACTTTTTTTTTCATTGGCGCTACAGGCCTCATTAGGGCCCAGGCCTACCTCCATGAAACTCTCCGACTACTACTACTACTACTACTACTACTACTAGTGTAAATATCATTCTTGAACAAATATAGCTCACAATTGCAATAGATATACAGGTATTTTACTTATGCGCAGAAACCTCTTATTTCAGTTTTGGAGTGGAGATATCCCAGTTGGTATATTGACCGGCTACGGGCTGGACATCCGGAGTTTATTTTGTGGTAGGCGGAAATGTTTTCCATACTGCCCCTGGGACCCACCCAGCATCCTATCCAACGGGTACCGGGGGCTCTTTCCCCGGGGGTAAAGTGGCCAGTGCGTGAAGCTAACCACTCACTTCCATGTAATTTTGAGGTCAACAGTAGAGCTACAAAAACCACTCCTCCATACGTCTTCATGGCATATTCTTTAATTAATTAAGTACAAAGCCACCTTTATCTTTTTAAGTATTAGTGTCGGTTCGTATCGGGCAATGAAATGGGAACCTCCTTGAAGAAGGCACGTACTCAGTGCATAGATTCGAGTCGCTCTTCATAACGTTAGTGCTAGTGTTGCGAAGACTATTTTGGGGTGTCTGAGACTTGCGTGAGAAGCTGCTTTCTTTGTGTCTGAAAACGAAGTCGCTCTTTTGACTTCAGCTGTTGTAAAACACAGACCGCTTATGCTACTAATCAGTGTTCTGATAAACCTAGCGCCTGTGAGCTGCTTTAACTTCAATGGTAAATCATTTCGCCGTGTTTATGTTACTAGGCGTGATCAGTGTCCAGTGTGGGGGGGGGCAGAAGGACGCATTTATTGCACAAGGAAAATTTGGTGAACTTGACCGTCCCGTACTATCGGTGTATGCGCAAGCTTCATTCGGTTAGTGTGTGCTCCGCGCGAGGACTCTGCAGGCGCTAGTCCCAGTCCGGTAACGCGCCTTGTGGGCACTGCTTGCCAGTCTACGCGCGAACATGTGCGGAGGAAGTGACGGAATCATATGCGGCTCGTCTGACACTTTTGTGGCTATCTCTCTGTTTCGGGGGGGTGCCTAGATTCGTGTGTTGTGTCATTAGTGCATAGAGTGACTTATCAGTGCAGTGAAGATACCATTCTGAAAGAGATGTCGAAACACGAAACATCAACATTACTTCCCTGTTTGCGACTTGGTGTGGCATGAGAATTCATACATCATGTCTACAGGCTTCGTAGCCATTTTCTTCGCCCTAGCGTTCGTGAATGCGTATGGTGGTCGTGTTTTTGGTAAGTAGAAATGCCACATAAACTAAAATTGCGGTCGGACATTCAGTGTAGCTTAGTTCGTAACTATGCTTTTAAGACTACCGCTGTAATGTGCAGTTTTCGTGTTAGCGACAGTTAGTGTGCAGGTGAGAACACGTCCGTATGGACCGTCCCGTAGCTCGGGCGGTTGGTCACCGGATTCTAACAGAGAATTCCCGGGCTCGATCCCATGTCATGTGATATTTTTGGTGGACAAAGTGGTACTGGGGCAGGTTTTCTTCGGGTACTTGGGCTTCCCCTGCGAAACGTATTCCACCATATTAATCATCATATCCGACTGTACATAGTCTCAATGTGTCGGAGTCTTTATGTAACAGTCTTCAGTTTTCGTATGTTGCAAGAGGAATTGGACGTGCTTGACAAAAATGCCATAGCGGTATGAATTGTGCACTGTTTTGTTCCGTAACACTTTCATGATTAACGGCCATGTATTAAAAAAGAAGCAATTATTTTAAACGGCGTACAAATACAGATACAAAAAAAAAATAATAATCCAATGATATCTGATTATTATAGATTATGTTTTATGACTAATTGAAGACCAACGTTAACATTAAACGGTAAGCATGACTGAAGATTAGTGTTCCATTGGTGCATGCAGTATGGTTAAATGCAGTACGAGTAAAGTAATCGAAGCGGGTATCGACCTTTCAATGGCAGTATTAATTGCCCTGATATCGCAACGTGTTTTACATTAGCAAACTTCATTTACACAGCCTGTTTCATTATGCGTTTTAGAAGAGCCTTTGAATGAAATAGCTTTATAAATGTAAATTGTTTTTTATTCGGTTTCAAGCGAAATATAGAGATATACGCTGAAATAATGACTGTGCCACATAAAGTAGTTAAAACTGTGAAGTGCCCATTGTTCGTACAGTAGATACATTTAAAGATAGGGTTATGATCCTTCGCTAAGATATATTCGCACTCGGTTTTGGGGGAACAGAATATGACCAGATAGCCGACAGTAACGGCCCCATTCCAAGCTAGTCCGGAGTGATAGTTTCACGTGATTTTGTGTCGAATGGTTCATAGATTATTTAATTGAACTGTTTCAGCCGTAGAAGTCACTTTGTTTCGATTCAGACGAGAGGCTGTGTACAAAGGGTGGGTGGAAAGGGCTTGTAAAAGTAAAGAAGTAAAGCTATCCTTTTAACAGGCCGTGAAGACCCATAGGGTTGTGAGACGTTGAGTATCCCACATTATCTGGACAATCGGGTCAAAGATGGCGGTAAGGTTGTCAGTCTTACGCGCCAGTCGTGCTTTACTCCCCAGGAAAATTAATTAATTAATTCCTGGTACTCATTTCTGTTAGAGGCTGAGTCGCCCCAGGCCCATAGTGCGGCTGGAAGGATTAGGTCAATTGAAAAAAATCCAATGGCCTCATCGGGATTTGAACCCGTGACCTCTTGGCTTGTAGCATAGTGCCTCAACCAACTACGCTACCGCGTGAACCGAGTACCTGTCGATGATTTAATGTTTCAGGAAACCTGCTCAGTTAGTCGATAGAAAGTTTGATAAGTGATTGAATATATCATAAATTCATTGGACATCAGAAATATAAAAATTGGCATATGACTATCAATAAACATAGCTGGAATGGTGGCTTGGAATATTCAGTCTTAAAGACTTTTGGCATGTTTGTGTCATTTATAACAGCGGGAACATTGCTTTACAGTGATCATCACGCCTGTTTCTTTTCCGTTGGAGAGACATTGGCTCGAATCCCTGCCTGACGGAAGTATTTCATGTTCCATGCCCGGCCATGCATGTTCTGCAATGGTGGTTTACAGTCGGTCCTGACAGCCTCGTTACAAATATTTCTCTCATTGATTGAGTGTGTATTTAGTAAGCTCGCACAAACACAACGCTTATGACTTGTATATTGTAGCTGTGCTTCATATGTGGACGGAGATACCTGATTTGTTGAGATCTTGCGGTATTATTCAGTGCCTTCGAATAAATGCTGCAATACGTCCTTGAAATGTGGTTCTACAGTCAATTCATTAAAAGTTTATAATGATTCTGTCGGGTGCACGCGGCAGCGTAGTTGGTTGAGGCACTATGCCACAAGCGTGAAGGTCGCGGGTTCTATTCCCAATGAGGTCATTGGTTCCTTAAGTTGACCTAATCCTTCTAGCAGCACTGTAGCCCTGGGGTCGACTCAACCGCTAACAGAAATGAGTACCAGGAGTCTTTATAGGGGTAAAGGGCGGTCGGCGCTTAAGGCTGTCAATATTACCGTCATCTGTGAGCCAATTGATTAGAAAATGTGGGAGCCTCGACGTCTCGCAACCCTATGGCCCTCCACGGTATGTTACGGAGATAGCTTTATGTTTACTTTTAATTAATGATTCTTTCATGTACTCTGGACATAAATATGATATAAAATCGATAAAGCGTTCTTACATAACTTATGAGTCATTCGGTAAATAACTTTAGAATGCATCTTATTATTTAAGTCTGTCCATATAGCTTAACATGCTGGTAGGTGAACCCGAAGGTTCCATTTATGATACCAAATCTTGCCGTTGGACACTCTCCTGAGCCATTTTCATCCATCTCTTTATCATCCAACCCGTATCTCTGGGAACGACAGTAATGTTAATCTTGCATGGAGAGCATGGCGCTGTATCCCAGAAGACAGAACTCTTCATAGCCATCGCTGTGAGAACCTCAAATACTACGTGTTACTTTTTTATTAGGACAACAGTTGTAGCTGTTAGTTTCAATGAAATATTTCTTCAAGTTCGGTATTTTGGACAAGAAATCAGAGCGAAATTTCCAGTAGTTCTAGAGATATATTTAGATTATTAATTGCTCGCCTTTCATATTCATTTTCCAAACCAAAAAGAAGTGTTACCGCAAAGATATAACCCCGAGCGTCGCCGTTGAGTAGGCCGGATTCCTTGTACGATTTGATTATTCGCCAGGAGGCCAGCGTTACGTTGGCTAAGGTCACTGAAGGGTTTTCTTAGCCTCATCTATCAAATTCTGGGGATGATAGTACCTTAAAGCGGTCGCCATCCCGCACCACACTCACTTTATTCAAGACTATTTATCATCGACGCTACATAAACGTTAAAGTTAAATCGTCATTAAGCGAAGTAAGGCAATAGATTTAAGTCACACGATTCCGCGTGGTACTGTTTAGCGACGGTTGAATCAAATGTAAGATAAAGGTAAAGTTGTCCCTGTGTTTAATTAATTAAGCATTACGCCACGAAGACGTATGGTGAAGTGGCTGTATAGACCCACGTTTTCTTGACCTTGGCATTAGTTGGAGGTGAGTGGTCAGCTTCACACCCCGGCCGCTTTATCCCCGGTGAAAGAGGCCCCAGTACCCATTGGATTGGAGGCTGGGCGGGCCCCAGAGCCGGTCTGGACGACATGGAGAAGTAAAAATTCTTGCACACACCGGGACCCGAACTCCTACCCCTTGGTCGTCCAGCCCGTAGAGAGTCTGTATACCGACTGCACTATCCCGACTCACGGTCAAATCAAATTATTGAAGAAATTGTGTATTGTTGAAACTCTCACATTGAAGAATCCTGCAAGAAGAGGAATGAGAGCCGAATTGATTGCTTCTTTATTGAAAGCCAATTCATTTTGAACTGACGTAATAAAATTAGTTGTCTTAATAATAAATCCTGATGTTTAGGCACTGGTTAGTTTTCGCTAAAGGCACTCAGTTCGAGGTAAGTTTTAATTTATGACTTTGGAAGCCTGTGACGGATTTTACTATAATAGCGTCTTTCTTCTTTGTCTGCGAGATGCAGGAGTAGAAGGGTAGATCAATTTGATTGCATTCCTCGCACCGAAGAGCGATGTTGAATGGTTAGTGATTCTGTTTCTTGAAGCACTGTCGGAAACTTCTGAAGTCTATTCTTGTTTCGTAGGCCAGTTCGCCACAATGATCATATTCATGATTTGAATCGGTCATTCCAGCAGAGCACGGCCCCATCTTTCCAAATCGTATCCAAGTTAGTATTGACCGTTATTCTCCCAGTGTGGACGCTGCATAACCGAATTAGATTGAAAAATCGTCATTAAATAAACCAAGAGAAGGTTCTATTTTCTTTTCCTTGGCACTACAGCCCCAGTGGGCCTAGGCCTACCTCCATGAACTTCTCCGTTCACTTCGGGTTTTCTAGATCTTACACATTCGGTAGGACTCCTTAGGCGGGTGATCAGCTCGTCGCAAGGCCTCTACCTGTACACAAACACAGAAAAACGCACACAAACATCCATGCCCTGAGTTGGTTTCTAACCTACGATCCCGGTTTCCAAGCGAGCGAAGACAGTACATACCTGAGACCGCTCGGATACCGTGACCGAGGAAGGTTCTGTTTACTCCAAACAATTGGATTTGTAATTAGCCTACGCAAAGAAAATTTTCACGACTAAATTAGTTGAATAAAAAGGCTAAAAAAAGACAACCGTATTTCAAACCACGTTCTTTCAAATATTAACGAAACCAGGGTGTTAATAAATGACACGTAAGTAAAGATAGGTCATTAGTAAGGCTATAGATTTGGCTAACCGTGGCAGAATCCTTTTGTTTGCGTCCTTGGGATCGGTTCTCGGTTGGTTTGGGTGTGCGTTTTCAAGCGGAAAGGTTATGTAGCTTAGATTGACGGGATGATAAATCACTGACAAAGATCTGCTTAATATCTAATTACGTCGACCAGAATTCTTTGGTTTGAGAAACTGGTACTCGCTCAGCTGGTCAAGAAATTCTTCCCCTTTTGTGAAACCCAAATTTCATTACCGTATTCATTGATGGACCCTGGGCTGGGACCGTTGAATTCCTGTAACTTCATAGTGGTCTCTTCCCTTCATATTCAGACTAAAATTGCTACAGATTTCGTACCCATCACATATTTCCTACGTGCTCATATGTCTTATTGTTAATTTCGGGCGGTATTAAATTCGGCGAAGAGAACAATTACATGTTCTTC